TTTTTTTTTTTTTGGTAATTGTCTATCTACAAGTGTATTATTTGCCTGCATATTTGAATCCGTGATTAAGCAAAGAAAGCACAATAAAGTGTGGAGAAAAAAAGCAGTAGAGAACCCAATTATACAGTAGACAAGAAAAAAAGCAGTAATTGAAAACGGTATTGTTGATTTCAAAAACCCATCCAAAAATAGAAAATTTGACTATCTGTCTGAGTATTCAAGAGGAAGAACAACGAATCTGAAGCGGTGAAGACAAAGTTGTGGTTGTCTGTTTAAATGCTGTCAACGATAACAGAAAATTGAGATGAAAGAATGAAAGTATCTTTTTTTTTGACTGCTAAGAAAAAAAAATAAATTTATCAAAATTCGGAGATGAAAAATTTTTTAAAGCAAAAAGATCGTAAAAGCGGAAAAAAGTTTTCTATGACTTTTGAGTTGTTCATTTCTTCTAACAGTTGAATTATAACTTTTCATCCAAATTTTACTTTCTTTTTTTTTCTCTTAGTTTCGCCATTAACTTCAGCAATAATTGGTAAACTAAGGAAACAAATTTATTGCACGCTTTTATTTTTGATATTTTCAGTGTTATTTTTGTTTTTTTTTTCTCGTCTTTTGGTTTCCTAATTGTTAACTTGGATTTTTTTTTTCTGTTATAACAGCAGCAACGCTATAAAAAGTCAATAAAATCTATTCAAACCATTTTGTGCCGTTTTCGTTCCACGCTTTTTCACCAGTTTTTTTTTTTAATGCTCTTAACAAAATAACAGAATGAAAACATCAATGTTTCAACTTTTTTTTCTTCATCTTCTCCAGTCGGTAATTTTCGTTTTATCTGGTTGCTGAGGCCACATTTTGATGCTGTTGTTTGTTCAACTGTAATCATTACAAAATTGCCTCTAAGACTCGTTTGTTTTGATCGGATATTCAGATGGATTGATGGGTGACTGGGTGACTGGTGGAACGGATCACTCAGCAAACTTTTGTACGATAAACAAATGTTTGGCGAAACAGTGTATGGAAACATTGAAATGTGGGCGAGGACAAGATAAGGATTGGGTGAGCCGATGAGAACCGGGAAAAATAGCTAACAGTTAGAAGAAAACTTGCCTTATTTTATGGTGCTGTATCGGATAAATTCAACCATTCACGTATTACAAAAGCAAAAAAAGGAGAAGAATTAAATAAAAAGAGTTGCAAGAGAAATAGAAATATATCAGCTAAGAGAATATATATTCATACATATATTTTATGCCTAATTTTTCTATTTTACAATTTGATCTGTTTTTTTGACTGCTTCTGTTATTCCCGATATTATTATCTTTGACACTTTTTGTCAAATTATCAAGCATTAGAATTGTTTCGCATATTGACCGCTACTTATGACAAAATAGGCAAAATATAGCACAATTGTTTGTTAGTTAATCTTGGACCATTTTTCCACTGCCTCCACCGGTTCACCATCAATAATTTTTTTTTATAGCCAAATCTATGTTTGTCCAGTCTAAAACCAACAAAAAAAAATTAAACTGAAAAATCAGCAGTACACCTATGGAGGGTATTTTATTGCTTTGCCATACACCCAAAAATTGGCAGACCATATTTTGACAGAACAACAATAACAACAACAACAATAAAAACATTGAACTAATTTAGTTTTTAATTCCATTTTTCATCCCCTCTCCCTCCCACCTAAATTTCGCCATCGTCGACAAAAGGTG